AGACAGGGTCTCACTATGCAGTTCAGTCTGGCCTTGAGCTCACTTTGTAGCCCAGGCTGGTCTTGAACTCACGATGATCTTCTTGCCTCAGCCTCCTGAGTGCTGGGATTATAGGCATGTGCCACCTCTCCAGTGCTGGGATTATAGGTGTGTGTCACCATGTCTGGCTATTTTAGTTTTTTGAGACAGGGTCTCACTATGTAGGTCAAGCTGGCTTTGGACTTGTGGTGATCTTCCTGCCTCAGCCTCTCCAGTCCTGGGATCACAGGCATGTGCCACCACACCCAGCAGGAAAATGACTTTTAGAATTTAAAAGAACAAATCCCTTCCAGCTCATGGCATAGACTTTCATTCAGTTTTGCACCTGGAAACTCCTCTGATTCAGAAAACAAATTTCCAACATAAACTGAATTAATCAAGTTCATTAAACTGAGTTCGGTTGGCCTCCGTCTTTATGAATATAACTGCAGTGGTTTTTGTTGTTTTGTTTGTTGGTTCGTTTGTTTTATTTTTTGTTACAGGGTTTCTCTGTGTAGTCCAGCTAGCCTTCAACTCTCTATGTACTCCAGGGACTCTAATTTGAGATCCTCTTGCCTTAAACCCTGGACTGCTGGGATTACAAGCAGGCACCACCATAGCCAGCTTTAGAAGATTAGTTTTACAGATAGTGGCTTTGTAGATACTACCGGCCACTCCAAGACTTTCAACTTCAATATTCTCTTCCATCAAGTGAGAGTGATAATGATATCAACTTCAAAGACTTTTCTTTAAAGGATTAAGTGAGATAATCCAAGCAAAATTCCGGGCACATATTAAATACAATTAAAAAATTAAACAGTTGAATAAAATGTTAATGGAACAACCTCGGTGGTGGTTTTATGATTACCCGACATCCAATTATCTCAACTTATCCATGTTTGAAAATTTTCACATAACATGCTAGGAAAAGAAAACTTAAATGTTACGTTAGTGGGTAGTCATTAGGGAGGGAATGGGGCAAATATTAGAGAAAGTCAGGTGCAGCATAGACACATTGCACCAAGCTCAAAATGTGGAATCTGAGCTGGTGCCCGGTGCACGCCTATAATCCCAGCACTCTGGGAGGGTGAGACGGGAGGATTGCAAGTTCGAGCCCAGATGAGCAATTTAGCCATTTAGAGAGACTCTGTCTCAAAATAAAAAATAAAAAGGGCTGAGGTTGTAGCTCAGTGCGGAGGCTCTGGGTTTAACCCCCAGTACTGAAAAAAGAAAAGACAACGCAACACAAAGCAAAGAAATCCCTGATGGGAATATGTGCCTGGATATCACATTGCATTTATTTTGATCTTCTTTGAATGTAGGAAAGTGTGACCAGAACTTGAATGCTGGGAAGGACTGTTGAATGCTGTTTTCTGATCTGGTTTCCCACTCTAAACCACAATGCAGGGATAGTATATGCTGTGGAAGTGACTTTTCTAATGTTTTGTTTTGGTTTGGTTTGGTTTTTTTGAGACAGGGTCTCGCTATGCAGTTTAGGCTGGCCTTGAGCTCACTTTGTAGCCCAGGCTGGTCTTGAACTCACAAAGATCCTCCTGCCTCAGCCTCCTGAGTGCTGGGATTACAGGCATGCACCACCATGCCTGGCTGACTTTTTTAATTTAGGAGATTAAAATACATGATTTATTTGCAAAGTTACGCTGAAACATTGGAACAAGTGCCTGGCTTTGGAGTCAAATGCAAGGGACTTGGGTTGAAACCCTTTCTCACCTGGTTTTGGAAAGCAAAATTTGGGCAAGACAGCTTTCTATTCTGGACTCAGTTTCCTGGCCTGTAAAATGGGGATGCTCAGAGGTCATTCCTCAGAGTTGTGTGAAGATGCAACGAGAGCTCATAGAGATGCCCGATGCAGGGCTTGGCAGAAGCAAAGCTAATACAGACTTAGTTTCCTCCTTTCTAAGGAGCAACATTTAGTGTTTGTTTTGCCAGGGAATTATTCCCATCGCCACTCTGCTAATGGATCCAAAGGTGATTTTTCTGTTGGAAAGGTCACATAGAGATCAATATCCTGAGCTGCCCAGGGGCCAGCGGTGAAAATCTCAGCGCGTTGTTGTTCTGATTTCCTCCTATTTGGAGCCCTTGCGAGTGGTGCCTGGCTTTGTGATTCACTGAGATCCCTCCCAGAAATTTCACTTTGACCTTAGATGTGTGAAAATTCCATTCCTGGCAAGCGGAGCTCATTGCTTCGTGAAAGAGAGCCCACGGCATTCTGTCGTGAAACCTCTGCTGTTTGTTAAACTGAGGGGGGACCACAAAGTGAGCTCACTGTGCAGATCTGCTGTAACGTTTCATGGAATTCCGCACGCTGTGCTTCTCGATCCACACACAGACGCATTAACATACAGTCATTTGGAGGGGAGAAGAGAGCAAGAAGTTTGAAAATGTGGGGCTGGGGGGGTAGCCCAGTGGGGGAGGACTTGAGCAACGACTAGCATGTGAGGTTTGGGGTTAGCTCCCTGGCAACCCCCTGCAAAAGTTTGAAAATGACTGTGCCCCAAATAACTGCAATTTTGAGTCACATGTTTCCTTTCTCTGGATCTGTCTTCTTGTCTATAAAAGAAATAAGAGAATAGGAAGCTCCCTCTTTCACAGTCCAGGCCCACTGTTTTTCTGGGGAGAAAAAATGAGGAAGCTATAGTAGGATTGAAAAATAGAATTCACATTTAAAACAGAATTTACAAAATATTAAAATATGTCAGGTGTGCTGATGTATGCCTGTAATCCCAGCACTTAGGAGGCTGAGGCATGAAGATTATTTGAGTTCGAGATCAGCCTGGACTACATAGCAAGGTTTTGTCTCAAAAAAAAAAAACCCAAATATTAAAATAGATACCATAGCTCCAGAGGAGTCCCTTTTGGCCTCATTAAGGAAAGGAGCAGTTAAAAATCTGATCACATCTTCCAGCTGGGGACTCCTGGCTACTGTGGCCACGGGGGATGGGGTGTTTGGGGATCTAACAGGTCTTTTCCATTTCTCTCTTCAAGGCTTTGAGAGGAAGGAGCAAGATTTTGTCCAAATTCCTTGAGAAATAAAAAATGTGGCAGGGAGGATGAGGCAGGAGGATTGCCATGAGTTTAAGGCCAGCTTGAACTATCAGAGTAAAACTTTGTCTCAAAGAAAACAAAAACAAAACAAAGCAACAACAACAACAAAACCAAAAAAGAAAAAATAAAAAAAAACGTGGCAAGTCCTGATCCTCATTTCCAAACCGGAGATGAGGAAGACAGGACCTGCATGCATTTGGCCTCCATTTTTTTTATTAGTTTGTTTAGTCTTAAATTCATGGCAGCCTGCCCAAGCTGTGCCTGTTGAGTGAGCTTTAGACAGCAGGCTCTGAAATGGATAATTATGCATGAAAACCCAGCCTACCCAAGCTGCAGGTGTTGCTCAGTGGCAGGGTACAAAGCGTAACGTGCTTAAGACTCTGGGTTCGATCCCAAGCATTAAAAAAAAAAAAGACCTCCCCAAAAAAGCCTCCCAACCTACTTTGGTTCTTCTAAAGGAACCTGATACATGATTTTCTTTCCACAAGATTATTGGCACGGCCCTGTTTATTCAGAATTATGCCCGAAGCAAGCAAATTCTGTCCACGTTTGGCTAACAAGGAAGGTAATAGTATCAGATCTCAGGAAGAATTCCTCCTCTCTCCTTTAAAGATTAGGTCAGGCCCTTGGCAATGCTTTCTTTCTATCTATCTTTCTTTCTTTTTTTTTTTTTTTGTTGTTGTTGCTGGTTTTGGTTGGTCTTTTTGAGACAGGGTCTTGCTATGCAGTTCAGGCTGGCCTTGAGCTCACTTTGTGGCCCAGGCTGGTCTTGAATTCGCAATGATCCTCCTGCCTCAGCCTGCAAATGCTTTCAAAGTGACCCGCACATCTTTTCAATGTTCAGCACAATTATTATCTTTTAAATAATGTGCTATAATTTTAGTAGTCTCTGTCTTTCCTTGTGGTTCTCAGCTGGGACAATCCTTTCCCCTAGGGTCAATTGGCAATGTCTGAAGATATTTTTGGGTGGTGGGGTGGGTGCTAGCGGCACGTGGTGGGTAGCCCAGGGGTACTGTTAAACGCCTTACCGAGCTAGGGACAGCCCACCACAACAAAGAATCACTGAGCCCGAATGTCTGCAGTTTTCGGAATTCCTGCTGTGCATTGTTAGTTCCCTGAGGACAGGCTACGGGTCTGCTCTGTCCACCAGCACCGCAGGACTCACCCAGACTCTACCACGGAAAAGGCATTTGGTGTGTTGTTGAGGATTGGCTCCTGACTAATCTGTCACTTGAGACCGGAAAGGCATTTGATGGAATTTTGTTTCCCAAGGGCTGAACAAAGTTTAACATATAGTAAATAAGTGATTCCGAATGAATGAAGAATTTATGAACGAATGAATGAGTGAGTGCATCTATCCATGCATCCATGCATTCATCTGTTCTCCCAGTTATCCTGGACCTAAGTGGGCCCTCATGGCAGGAGGCAGTCGTAGCGGTCTTTGGACTCCAGCTTTGGCTATACCACTGCCCAGCTAAGGGACCTTATGAACTTGGCATGTACTTTTCTAGACCAGCATTGTTCTCCGGGCCTGCCTACAGTTATGGAAGTGTTGTGTCTCGGTGCACGTGGCTAGTAAACACTTCAAACGTGGCTAGTGTGACTATTTTACTTCATTTAAATTTAGAATAAATAAATAAATAAATACGTTTAGATAGCCACTTGTGGCTAGCAGCTACTGTACTAAACAGCACAGAATAAAATGTTTTTAGATTTTTAATATCCTATCACATACATTGTGCCCATGTAAAAACAGTACAGTGTGAGTTTTTTATAAAGGTATGCTTTCCCAGATTCTATCACTTGGCTCTTTCATTTGTCGTTTTGGACATTTGCCCACTTAGATTTAGCTCATTCTTTTTTTTTTTTTTTTTGTCTTTTTGAGATAGGGTCTCGCTATGCAGTTCAGGCTGGCCTTGAGCTCACTTTGTAGCCCAGGCTGGTCCCAAACTCTCAACAATCCTCCTGCCTCAGCCTCCCGTGTGCTGAGATTACAGGTGTGTGCCACCAGGCCCAGCTCAGCTCATTCTATTTATCTACTGCACAGTGATTTTTGGAGTGCCTATGTTATGTTCTATTAGCCATTCTCCTACTGATGGATATTTTCACTATTTTGAGTTTTAAAAATTTTTTCTGTTACAAACAATGCTTCAGTGAACATCTGTGTATGTCTCCTTAGGCTTCTCTGTGTCCTTTAAGAGTAGTATTGCTTAATATACATGTGAGTTTAATTTCATTAGTACTTGCCAGTAGTGAGCCATAGCCGGGCATGGTGGTGCATGCCTGTAATCCTGGCACTTGGGAGGCTGAGGCAGGAGAATTGCTAAGAGTTTGAGATCAGCTTGGGCTACAAAGTGAGTTCAAGGCCAGCCTGATCTGCATAGCAAAACCCTGTCTCCAAAAAAAAAAAAAAGAAGAAGAAGAAGAAGAAGACGAAGAAGAAGAAGAAGAAGAAGAAGAAGAAGAAGAAGAAGAAGAAGAAGAAGAAGAAGAAGAAGAAGAAGAAGAAGAAGAAAGAAGGAAAGAATAGTGAGTCATATTTTTTTTTTTACCTCTAAAGTGAGAGAGATCCAGTGATTTCTTTTTTTCTTAATCCAGTGATCTCTAAGGCTTATTTCCCTAGCACTAAAACCTAGTCCTTGTGGAACAATAGAGATGAGAGACAGACTTTGAGCTCCTGGCAGTGATCTGGTCTATACTATGCTCGGTCAGATGCAGCGGAAATAGATAAGATCCAGGGTCATGTGTTCCTAGTTGTTCCC